AGGATATCATGTCCGCATCTTGTACAGCAATTAACCACTAGGAAGAATGTATGCAATGTGTTAATTATTGAAACTGTCCTATCAGTTTGGTTTGAAACTGTCTCATTGCTATTTGTTTCTCAATAAAATTATGGAAAAAAATAATTAATACATTAAAAAAAGAGTACATAAAATCTCAAAAGTACAATAGATACTGGGGAAGGGAAAAAATCTGTTCAATGGAAAGGAAAAACTGGGATGGGGAAAAGGACTAAAAACAAAAGTGAAAAAGGTATATTTATATATATATGCAAGATAGCTTGGATAATTGCACTGCTGATTTCTGTTGGGCTAAAGAAAGGAACGGTTAATGCTTAAATTTTTTTTAGTTTTTTCTTTCTCCTTTTTAATTTCTTGTAATTTTTTTTCTCTCCCAATTTTGCAGGTTTATATCTGGTAACCTAACCTTGTATCGTTTCTAATTTTTTTTAAAAATCATTTTGCTTTTTTTTCCTGTATTTTAGGGAAGGGTCTACAGGGTGCTCAGTGTCTACTGGATTAGACTCATAGTGATCCGCCCGTTTACAGCCTCCCAAGAGCTGGGATTACAGGGGCGAGCCACCACACCCAGTCTCAATCGCCCAATCTCAATAGTGCCAACTCTCAGTCCACCTTCTCAGTGGGGGCTGGACCAACACAGCAGACCAGGGGATCGAACTGCCAGCCCCTGAACCTGCTTACAGGCGCTTTAATCCCCTGAGTTATTTGGTCCGCCCTTCATTTTGCATTCTTTAAAAAAAATTTTTTTAAAGCCTCTAATGGGAAATATTTTGATTTGGGTTTTGTTTTTAAATAGCTTAAAAAAAAAATAGTGTCCATTAACAGTGAATTGCTAGAGGCCAGGGAGATGGCTCAGTGGAATAAGCGATTGCCTGGCAAGCTCAAGGGCCTGAGTTCAATGGGGGGGGGGGGGAGTGAATTGCTGAAAAGCCTGTGGTAATATCCATACAAGTAATGCTAGCAGACGGTTTACTTACCAACAGAAGCAGGGGATGATTGATACTGCAACCACACACAGACCTCCAGATACCCGAGTACATGCTATGTAGTTCCATCTACCTAACATCCTAGGAAATCCGGACGGCTCTGCAGTACCTCAGAGCAGGTCCCCGGTTGCCTGGGAGAACCCAGGGAGGGAACGCTCAGGAAGCGACAGGAGGCCTCCAGGGCTGACGGGCACGTTCGTAACCTTGGCCGTGGTGAACTGTTTCACCCGGGAAACGTCAAATTGCGCCCTTCACCTACGTGC